AATGTGTGTAAAGGTAGAAAGTTGAAAGTGAACATAGAAAAGAGTAAGGTGATGAGGGTGTCAAATGATTTAGATAAAGAAAAATTGGATATCAAATTGGGGAGGAGGAGTATGGAAGAAGTGAATGTTTTCAGATACTTGGGAGTTGACGTGTCGGCGGATGGATTTAAAGAAGGATGAGGTTAATCATAGAATTGATGAGGGAAAAAAGGTGAGTGGTGCGTTGAGGTATATGTGGAGTCAAAAAAAAGTTATCTATGGAGGCAAAGAAGGGAATGTATGAAAGTATAGTAGTACCAACCTCTTATATGGGTGTGAAGCTTGGGTGGTAAATGCAGCAGCGAGGAGACGGTTGGAGGCAGCGGAGATGTCCTGTTTAAGGGCAATGTGTGGTGTAAATATTATGCAGAAAATTCGGAGTGTGGAAATTAGGAGAAGGTGTGGAGTTAATAAAAGTATTAGTCAGAGGGCAGAAGAGGGTTGTTGAGGTGGTTTGGTCATTTAGAGAGAATGGATCACAGTAAGAATGACATGGAAAGCATATAAATCTATAGGGGAAGGAAGGGGGGTAGGGGTCGTCCTCGAAAGGGTTGGAGAGAGGGGGTAAAGGAGGTTTTGTGGGTAAGGGCTTGGACTTCCAGCAAGCGTGCGTGAGCGTGTTAGATAGGAGTGAATGGAGACGAATGGTACTTGGGACCTGACGATCTGTTGGAGTGTGAGCAGGGTAATATTTAGTGAAGGGATTCAGGGAAACCGGTTATTTTCATATAGTCGGACTTGAGTCCTGGAAATGGGAAGTACAATGCCTGCACTTTAAAGGAGGGGTTTGGGATATTGGCAGTTTGGAGGGATATGTTGTGTATCTTTATATGTTTATGCTTCTAGACTGTTGTATTCGAGCACCTCTGCAAAAACAGTGATAATGTGCGAGTGTGGTGAAAGTGTTGAATGATGATGAAAGTATTTTCTTTTTGGGGATTTTCTTTCTTTTTTGGGTCACCCTGCCTCGGTGGGAGACGGCCGACTTGTTGAAAAAAAAAAAAAAAAAAAAAAAAAAAAAAAAAAATTTTTAACACGCTGGCCATCTCCCACTGAGGTGGGGATAGAGTAATGTATCTTCCATTATTGAGGGTTGTAACTTATACAGTATGCGAGTACATATCTCCTTTGAGCCATATACAGTGGACCCCCGCTTAACGATCACCTCCAAATGCGACCAATTATGTAAGTGTATTTATGTAAGTGCGTTTGTACGTGTATGTTTGGGGGTCTGAAATGGACTAATCTACTTCACAATATTCCTTATGGGAAAAAATTCGGTCAGTACTTACACCTGAACATACTACTGGAATGAAAAAAGTTCGTTAACCGGGGGTCCACTGTATTCCTCAGCTCTGTTCTTTCATCTTTTAGATGCTGTTCCTCATTCCATATAGTATCTCTTTTTAAATTAAATATTTTGTTCAAGTTTATTCATATGATATATCAGTTTTTTTTATTGTTTAGTGGCCTTATATCCTCTTATAGATTAATTTAATCTAGTTTCAGGTAACGTATTGAATATGGTATTATTATTACATTCACAAGAAAGTGCTAAACCTGAATGGAAACTAATTACATAACAGTAAATTATTTACATTATTTTGAACCCTGTAATATATTTCAGATGGAAAATTACACTGCTATAAATCAAAAGAGACTTCTTTTTATTATGTGTCTGATCACAGATGCCTTCATCATTGCTAAGAATCCTGGGCAGGTCAAGACGTGCGGGCATGTCTCCTTGCACTTTCTTCCTCTGTTTACCTAGAAGTCAATAGATATTGTTTATATGTTGTGGGTTGCATCCTTGGGAGGGTTTACTACTTCAAATAAGGAGACCTTGATAAGCCAGGTCTTTCCTGTTTTTGACACTGGTTATTATGTAGGTACAGTACAGTTGAAACACATTGGAAGAAAACCTTGGCATGCATGTACTATATACCAGTAATACTGTATATGTAGTAATATAGGTAATATAGGTAGTAGGTTGGTAGACAGCAACCACCCAGGGAGGTACTACCGTCCTGCCAAGTGAGTGTAAAACAAAAGCCTGTAATCGTTTTACATGATGGTAGGATTGCTGGTGTCCTTTTTTCTGTCTCATAAACATGCAAGATTTCAGGTACGTCTTGCTACTTTTATTTACACTTAGGTCACACTACACATACATGTACAAGCATATATATACACACCCCTTTGAGTTTTTTTCTATTTTCTTTCTAGTTCTTGTTCTTGTTTATTTCCTCTTACCTCCATGGGGAAGTGGAACAGAATTCTTCCTCCATAAGCCATGCGTGTTGTAAGAGGCGACTTAAATGCCGGGAGCAAGAGGCTAGTAACCCCTTCTCCTGTATATATTAATAAATGTAAAAGGAGAAACTTTCATTTTTCCTTTTGGACCACCCCGCCTTGGTGGGATACGGCCGGTGTGTTGAAAGAAAGAAAGATGTGTTAATCTTGTCAGTGATTCAAGTTTCTTTGAAGTAAAATAGATATAGTACAAATTAGGCAATTACATAAATGTTAAAGATATTAAAATGAAAATTAAAGTACAGTAGCAAATCTCGGCAAACAATTCTGGACAGAAATCTTTGAATGAGAAAATTTAATTTATGTTGTACTGTATGTGATTTTAGAAAAAATATAGGTCCTGTATTGCAAATTGATTTTTGATTTGTATGCAAAAGAAGAAAATTAAAAGTGAATACAGGAAAGAGTAAGGTTATGAGGATAACAAAAAGATTAGGTGATGAAAGATTGGATATCAGATTGGAGGAGAGAGTATGGAGGAGGTGAATGTATTCAGATATTTGAGAGTGGACGTGTCAGCGGATGGGTCTATGAAAGATGAGGTGAATCATAGAATTGATGAGGGGAAAAGGGTGAGTGGTTGCACTTAGGAGTCTGTGGAGACAAAGAACTTTGTCCTTGGAGGGAAAGAGGGAAATGTATGAGAGTATAGTTTTACCAACCCTCTTATATGGGTGTGAACCATGGGTGATGAATGTTGCAGCGAGGAGAAGGCTGGAGGCAGTGGAGATGTCATGTCTGAGGGCAATGTGTGGTGTGAATATAATGCAGAGAATTCGTAGTTTGGAAGTTAGGAGGAGGTGCGGGATTACCAAAACTGTTGTCCAGAGGGCTGAGGAAGGGTTGTTGAGGTGGTTCGGACTGTAGAGAGAATGGAGCGAAACAGAGTGACTTCAAGAGTGTATTAGTCTGTAGTGGAAGGAAGGCGGGGTAGGGGTCGGCCTAGGAAAGGTTGGAGGGAGGGGGTAAAGGAGGTTTTGTGTGCGGGGGCTTGGACTTCCAGCAGGCATGCGTGAGCATGTTTGATAGGAGTGAAGAGGAACAAATGGTTTTTAATACTTGACGTGCTGTTGGAGTGTGAGCAAAGTAACATTATGAAGGGGTTCAGGGAAACCGCAGGCCGGACTTGAGTCCTGGAGATGGAATACAGTGCCTACACTCTGAAGGAGGGGTGTTAATGTTGCAGTTTAAAAACTGTAGTGTAAAGCACCCTTCTGGCAAGACAGTGATGGAGTGAATGATGGTGAAAGTTTTTCTTTTTCGGGCCACCCTGCCTTGGTGGGAATCGGCCAGTGTGATAATATAAAAAAAAAAACTGATAATGTAAAAATTAGCCAGTTAAATTAGATATACATATACTAAAGTAGACTACAGAAGCTGTACTCAAGAGTATGAAACAAACCACTCAGTAGAACATAAGTCAATGTGAGAGAACTGGGAGTGATAATGACAGAAGATCTCGCATTCGAGGAGCACAACAATAGTATATTTCAGCTGCAAGAAAAAGATAGGTTGGATAACTAGAACTTTCAAAATAAGAGATGCCAAGCCAATGATGATACTCTTCAGGTTGCTCATTCTCTCTAGGCTGGAATTGCTAGGCAGGTGAAATTGCTTAGCTGGAAAATGTACAGAGAACCTTCACAGTTCATATAAACTCAATTTCTTTCAACGTACCAGCCATATCCCACTGAGGTGGGGTGGCTCAAAAGGAAAAACGAAAGTTTCTCCTTTTAAATTTAGTAATAGTAGGGGTCGTCCTCGAAAGGGTTGGAGAGAGGGGGTAAAGGAGGTTTTGTGGGTAAGGGGCTTGGACTTCCAGCAAGCGTGCGTGAGCGTGTTAGATAGGAGTGAATGGAGACGAATGGTACTTGGGACCTGACGATCTGTTGGAGTGTGAGCAGGGTAATATTTAGTGAAGGGATTCAGGGAAACCGGTTATTTTCATATAGTCGGACTTGAGTCCTGGAAATGGGAAGTACAATGCCTGCACTTTAAAGGAGGGGTTTGGGATATTGGCAGTTTGGAGGGATATGTTGTGTATCTTTATATGTTTATGCTTCTAGACTGTTGTATTCTGAGCACCTCTGCAAAAACAGTGATAATGTGCGAGTGTGGTGAAAGTGTTGAATGATGATGAAAGTATTTTCTTTTTGGGGATTTTCTTTCTTTTTTGGGTCACCCTGCCTCGGTGGGAGACGGCCGACTTGTTGAAAAAAAAAAAAAAAAAAAAAAAATATATATATATATATATATATATATATATATATATATATATATATATATAATATATATATATATATATATATATATATATATATATATATATATATATATATATATATAAATATATATATATTATATATATATATTATATATATATATATATATATATTATATATATATATATATATATGCTTGTACATGGATGTGTAGTGTGACCTAAGTGTAAGTAGAAGTAGATATTGTAGATATTAAAAAAATTACATTTTCAACATGCATCAAGAACTTCCTTGAAAACTATACATTATATACAATTTTTGTTTATATTTTAAAGGGTTATACATCAAAATTAGTTTGATTTTACTTGAAGATATGCACAATTTTTGTTATATTACAAATTAAAACAATCTTCACTCTAAACTAACCCGTTTGCTGAGGACAGACCGAAGGTCCCCACTCAACTTTATACACTGCCTTCTGATGGTAGTAAGCAAATGTCGTCACTCGTCCACTTGACACATCTGCCCATCCTACTTGACCTGATCCCGTGCCAAACAGTAACCAACCCTCATGAGCCGGGTGCCATGAAAGCTTTAGGGGGAAAATTTTCATCTTGTAAAAGTAATTTTGAAGAGCAAAAAGAAAAATACATAGTAAAATATTATATATAGGCTTTTTTGAGCAGGAAAAAAGATATTAAGAAATACTTTTGTTCAGTCATAAAAGGAGAACTTTTTCATTGATTATGGTAGATTTTTGCATTACATACAGGTTAAATTCCTGAAAACTGGCACTGTACATGAAAATGCAATATGTGGACTGAAGAAAATATGGGAAAAATAGGAGGGGTGTTAATGTTGCAGTTTAAAAACTGTAGTGTAAAGCACCGTTCTGGCAAGACAGTGATGGAGTGAATGATGGTGAAAGTTTTTCTTTTTCGGGCCACCCTGCCTTGGTGGGAATCAGCCAGTGCTAATAAAAAAAATAAATTAATTATATTAAGTCTGAAGACTTATATTAAGTTGGAAATATAATGAGAGAACTAAGTCAATTTATGACAAGGACAAAAATCTAAATAGTCCTATGATACGCAACATTAATTGATCCATTATCTATAATGGTACATAGTACAGAAACAATTACTCACGGACAAGATCTTTCCTTTAATATTCTGCCAAATTAGTTGCGTGTGCAAAGGTATCTCACTTCCAAAATTCAGAAGTCTTATATTGTTCTCCTGAGATCCAATAGCAAGTCTAAGAGAGAGAAAAAAACAATATTAGTAAAATATCAAATAACAAAAGACGTTATAGAAATAATGTAGTCATGTATGAAAACATTTAAACTGTCATATCTGAGTGCCTCTGCAAAGATAATGATTATGTATGAGTGACTGTGAAAGTGCTGAATGATGATGAAAGTTTCTTCCTTCCATTTTAGGTTTTTTTCTTTCTTTTTAGGTCGCCCTTGCCTCCGTGGGAAATGGCCGACGTGTTAAAAAAAAGATGTATGAAAACTGTAGTCTATTTTTTTAAATTCTAATAAAGTCAGAAATAAAATTAAAACTAAGACTTACAGCATCTCTGAAATTTGTAATTTATTAAGTAGAATTTTCTGATGGAGAGCATATATTTTCCAAGCAAGTTTATTTCCGAATATTCTTCAAAAGTCAAAATTTCAAAATTCTGATAAATTCTGAATTCAGAAATTGCAAATGTCTCTCAATTTAGAATTTTCTATAATTTGCATACCCACTTTTCCTGTATAAATTACTACATGTATAAAGAAAAACAAAAGCTTTATTTTAAGGTCACACTGCATTGGTGGGAAGTGGCCAGTGAATTAAAAAAAATTTCCCATTGCACTTCCTTCTCCATAAACATTATGTACTTACCTTATTTTTTTACAAATGACTATCTCTTTCTCACAACACATCAGTTGTCTCCCACTGGGGCAGGGTGACCCAGAAAGAAAATACTTTCATTATCATTCAACACTTTCACCTCACTCAAACATAATCACTGTCTCTGCAGAGGCACTCAGACATGACAGTTTAGAAGTCCCTACAAACTGCCAATATCCCAAACTCCTCCTTTTAAGTGCAGGAATTGTACTTCCCATTTCCAGAACTCAAGTCCGGCTATATAAAAATAACCGGTTTCCCTGAATCCTTTCACAAAATATTACCCTGCTCACACTCCAACAGCTCGTCAGGTTGCAGTGGAAAGGTTGGATAAGCGTTTAAGTCTTTGTACCAAGATCCCATGATGTTGCACTGCAACATCATGGGATCTTGGTACAAAGACTTCAAAGCTCGCCAGGTCCTAAAAACCACTTGTCTCCATTCACTCCTATCTAACATGCTCACACATGCTTGCTGGAAGTCCAAGCCCCTCACCCACAAAACCTCCTTTACCCCCTCCCTCCAACATTTTCGAGGTCGACCTTTCCCCCGCCTTCCTTCCCCTACAGATTTATAAGCTCTCCAAGTCATTCTACTTCGATCCATTCTCTCTAAATGACCAAACCACCTCAACAACCCTTCTTCAGCCCTCTGACTAATACTTTTATTAACTCCACACCTTCTCCTAATTTTCACACTCCGAATTCTCTACATATTTACACCACACACTGAGATAAGACAGGACATCTCCACTGCCTCCAGCCACCTCCTCGCTGCAGCATTTGCAACCCAAGCTTCACATCATTATAAGAGTGTTAGTATCACTATACTTTCGTACATTCCCTTCTTTGCCTCCATGGATAACATTTTTTTTTCTCCACAGACACCTCAACGCACACTTCACCTTTTTTCCTTCATCAATTCTACGGTTAACCTCATCCTTCATAAACCCATCCGCTGACAAGTCAACTTCCAAATACCTGAAAACATTCACTTTTTTCATACTCCCTCTCTCCAATGTGAGATCCAATTTTTCTTTATGTAAATCGTTTGATACCCTCATTACCTTACTCTTATCTATGTTCACTTGTTCACTATGTTCATGAATGACTATATCCTTTCCATAGTCTTATATCGAAATCTTCAATAAAAAAAAATTCATTGTTTAGCTTATTACATAATATCTAACAATTTAATATATGCTACTTCTACTTACACTTAGGTCACACTATAAATGCATGTATAAGCACATGCGTGCACACACACACACACACACACACACACACACACACACACACACACACACACACACACACACACAAACACCTCCCTACGTTTTGTCCTATTTTCTTACTAGTTCTTGTTTATTTCCTCTATTCTCCATGGGTAAGTGGAACAGAATTCTTTCTCCTTAAGCCATGCATGTCATAAATGGTGACAAAAATGCCTGAAGCAAGGGGCTAGTAACCCCTTCCCCTGTATACAATACCAAAGTTAAAAAAGAGAAACTTTTGTTTTTTCTTTTTGGGCCACCTTGCTTCGGTGGGATACAGCTCGGTTGTTCAAAGAAGAAAGATGATGATGCCTCGTCAAGTCCCAAAACACTGTATGTAATTTACAATAAGCCTCTCAAAATATGCAATTAACAGTAATATGAAAACATTACATTTTAAATTATATCAATAAATTCAAAGTACTTTTGCAAAATAAAGACTCCAGGATAATAAATGAAGCACTAAATCATGTAAATATAACATAAAACTAAATTTTACTTTGATAAATTTGAAAAGCCTTAGAGTTCTAATGCTACTGTTATATACAAAGACACTTGTATTTAAGACCCACCTGTTGGCATCATGTGGGCAGAAGGACAGAGATGTAGCACAAGCACCAAGTGTTGGTACTTGAAATAAATGAGATGAGTTGCCAATATGAAAACCATGGAGAAAACGATCTTGTCCGCTGGTAACTGCCACATCTCCTATCACCACCACATTGTAGATGGCTCGTGTGTGTAAGTGATGTAACGCCTAGTGACATGATAAATAATAAAAATTTCTAAATGAAAGATAAAGCTTTCAAATATTAACTAGATAATGCTATCAGATATTAACTGGATAATACTATCAGATATTAACTAAGTTTAAAAAAATGAAGATAAGACCTGAAAGCTACTGTAAAACACCTTAAATAAATTTTTTGATAAAGTCATAAAATTAGCATGACAGTGGCAGTGATGCCCACACATCAACAACACAAATATGTTACAAAAACGGTTTGATTCATTAAACCTTTTAAATAATAATACACGTCTCACTCTGTCTTTACACAAACTATTCAACTCTATACACATTTATCCCTAAATAAAAAAAAAAAAAAACTCATGATACAAGAAAATTTTAAAGCAATTTTGCATTTTGCCATTTTACATGTTAATATAAAATTGGACCTGCATTATTAACCCTTTGAGGGTCCGTCCCGTAGATCTACGGCTTTACATTCAGGGTCCAAACCGTAGATCTACGTCATGAGCTCAGCTCACTCTGATAAACTGTGAGTGGTACATTTGGGCCTAGATATGAGAGAATACATCTATGTGGTATGTGTGCACCACATAAAACAGATCCTGCAGCACGCTGTGTATAATGAGAGAAAAAAACTGAAATCATGATTTTTCGATTAAAACAGCGACTTTGCAGTGTTTTTTCGTATGTTTTTTATAGTTCTATTTGCAATTTCTTGGTCTCATTTGATAGAATGGAAGACATATTACAGAAATAGAGATGATTTTAATTGGTTTTAGCACTGGAAATGGCTTGAAACTGGGCTCAAAGTAGCTGAAATGTTAAATTTTTGCCGATGTTCAAGAGTAAACAAACGACCTCACACGTTTAATACACGCCAGCTGGTGGGTCTAATATGCATTCACAAATATGGTGACAATATTTATACAATTATTACAGTATTGCATAACAGTAAATCTTCTATTTTTTGGTGTGAATAAAAATTCATTATGTGAATAAAAAATCAAAATGGAATTTATTTGTAAAGCCTCAAAACATAACTAATAAACAGAAGAAATGTTAGTTTAGTTCCAGGAATACCTACATTGTTTATTCTGGACCCTATTTTGAAATTGGAATATTTTGAACTTTGTGTTAAATTGGCCAAATTAACAATTTCCGATCACTTTAATTTGTAGTTGAAACAGTTGACTTGGCGATTTCTTGTGCTCAATCGATAGAATAGAAGTAATACTAGTGAAATAGCTAAGAATTTGGTTGACTGGAATAATGTAATTGGCCTAAAATGGGAGTCAAAGTCGGCAAAATCGCCGATTCGTAAATATCGCTGACACATCAAAATTCGCGAGAGCATAATTTCGTCAATTTTCCATCAAATTTCGTACTTTTTGTTTTATTACCTTCACAAAAAGATTCTCTATTTCATAAGAAAAAATAACAAATTTTTTTTTTTTAAACTCTTGGACACTGGGGCACCACTTCAGATTTGGGCCTTGGACCCTGAAGGGGTTAAGAATTTTATGGTAATGATCAATACCCACCTGCTTAAAACAAAATACAAAATTTTCCTAACTTGTCAAAAATTAACCTTCCATTGCTTTCTTACAACTATTGCATATCTTACTACAGACTCATGTAATATGAATCTTGAAAACATTCATATTGTTGAACAATAAAATCTAAAATCATAAATAAAATGGTCAATACAAAAAAAAAAAAATACTATTATACCAGGTTAAAATCCCCAGCATCAGTTAAAAAAAAAAACCAGTGAATTATTACTGTCAAAAGACTCCTAAAAGTTCCCTGAGGTCCCTACAGGTACCCCAGTATTTAAAAAATAACATGAAGGCAGAAAGTCCTCAGAAGTGGGCAAACTGTTACAAGATATTCCACAATCAGAAGCATGCTACCCGTCCCAATCCACCTGGCGTTAGTATATAAGCGCCAGTCTCCTTGCCTCTGCTCCAGAATCTTCACGACTACGGTGCTCATCACACCAACTCCAAGGCTGAGGGACTGATTACCTCATCTTTTGTATATAGTTCTACTGTCTTCAAATTATGTCCTAGAACCTGTATTGATAAAGCCACTGGATGGCAAAAAGTCTACAATAAAGATACCCTGATGTTGCACATGTGTGTCAGTTTTCATGCTAGGGTAGGAGGCCAGGAGCACCTGCAAACCGGTAACTATGGGTGAGGTGTGCCGAATCCAGCTGACAGAGATTAATCTCTAAAGTTGACCAAGGTACAGTATATAAATCTGAGGTGGATGGAAAGAGGTATGGGGGACAGCCCAAAAGAGCTGTAGGGAGGGTATAAAGGAGACCTTAGGAGACCCAAGCATGTGAAAGTACGTTAAATCAGAGTGGAGACAACTGTTTTGGTGGAAGATTCGGCATGTTATTCTAGAATGAGAAAGTTAATATCTATAAAGGATTTTTAGGGAAATGATTTGGCTAGATCTGTGAACCTGAATAGCTAAGAACTCCAATATATCTTGATATCATACTTCCAATTTGCCAAGTATCTTTTTGTAATGGTGTTTTTCCCATTAATTTTTTTCCACTTAACACTAATTTAGATATTATTGTAGTATTTACCTTAAAAGAAATAAGTGATGCTTACTTTGAACTTGGACCCTGTAGGCTGCAGTGTCCACAGTAGTAGTTCTCCTCTAACAGTTGATGTTAGAAGGTTGCCATTATGCCATGCCAAAGCTATATGTTGCTTTCCACTGTTCTTCTCTTTACCCTTGCACAACATGAAAAAGTCAGTCATATTTTCTAAAATAATTACTCTTACATTAAATAATCAAACAGATGATGAATGAAAGATTTGATCGCATTAAGTTTCACCAAAATATAAACATTACTCTAGGTAGTAGGTTGGTAGATAGCAACCGCCCAGGAAGGTATTACCGTCCTGCTAAATGAGTGTAAAACGGAAGCCTGTAATTGTTTTACATGATGGTAGGATTGCTGGTGTCTTTTTTCTGTCTGATAAACATGCAAGATTTCAGGTGCATTTTGCTACTTCTACTTAAACTTAGGTCACACTGCACATACATGTACAAGCATATAAATATATACCCTTCTGGGTTTTCTTCTATTTTCTTTCTAGTTCTTGTTCTTGTCTATTTCCTCTTATCTCCATGGGGAAGTGGATCAGAATTCTTCCTCCATAAGCCATGCGTGTTGTAAGAGGCGACTAAAATGCCAGGAGCAAGGGGCTAGTAACCCCTTCTGTATATATTACTAAATGTAAAAGGAGAAACTTTCGTTTTTCCTTTTGGGCCACCCTGCCTCGGTGGGATGCGGCCAGTGTGTTGAAAGAAGAAAGATCTCCATGGGGAAGTGGAACAGAATTCTTCCTCTGTAAGCCATGTGTGTTGTAAGAGGCAACTAAAATGCTGGGAGCAAGGGGCTTGGAACCCCATCTCCTGTATATATTACTAAATTAAAAAAAGAGAAACTTTTTTTTTGGGGGGGAGGGGGAAGGGGCCACCCTGCCTTGGAGGGATACGGCTGGTTTGTTGAAAGAAGATAAACATTACTCTATGTAGTAGGTTGGTAGACAGCAACCACCCAGGAAGGTACTATCGTCCTGCCAAGTGAGTGTAAAACGAAAGCCTGTAATTGTTTTACATGATGGTAGGATTGCTGGTGTCCTTTTTTCTGTCTCATAAACATGCAAGATTTCAGGTACGTCTTGCTACTTCTACTTACACTTAGGTCACACTACACATACAAGTACAAGCATATATATACACACACCCCTCTGGGTTTTCTTCTATTTTCTTTCTAGTTCTTGTTCTTGTTTATTTCTTCTTATCTCCATGGGGAAGTGGAACAGAATTCTTCCTCCATAACCCATGCGTGTTGTAAGAGGCAACTAAAATGCCGGGAGCAAGGGGCTAGTAACCCCTTCTCCTGTATATATTACTAAATTTAAAAGGAGAAACTTTCGTTTTTCCTTTTGGGCCACCCCACCTCAGTGGGATACGGCTGGTACGTCGAAAGAAGAAACATGCAAGATTTCAGGTACGTCTTGCTACTTCTACTTACACTTAGGTCACACTACACATGCATGTACAAGCATATATATACACATCCCTCTGGGTTTTCTTCTATTTTCTTACTAGTTCTTGTTCTTGTTTGTTTCCTCTTATCTCCATGGGGAAGTGGAACAGAATTCTTCCTCCATAAGCTGTGAGTGTCGTAAGAGGCGACTAAAATGTCGGGAGCACAGGGCTAGTAACCCCTTCTCCTGTGTACAATACTAAAGCTAAAAAGAGAAGCTATTGTTTTTCTTTTTGGGTCACCCTGCCTCAGTGGGATATGGCCAGTTTGTTGAAAGAAAGAAAGAATAAACATTACTGACAGAATATTGCATAGTATTATACTCAAGGGAAATGCCAAACCCATAAAGACCATGCAGCACCTGGTGAACGTATGGCGTGCCCTTTATTTATTAATCTCAGTTATAATCCAATAATTTTTTTAAAAGCTATCTAATAGTTATATAAGGTGAAATCTTAAATTAACAATACTAATGTGGGTGAGAGGGTGTCTGTTAATGCCAACTACCTGTTAAATCCAAATAAGATTGTTTTTTCCATGTTTGAAACTACGTATAGTGGACAAGTCTGTATTTAACAAATTTTATCCATCAAATCTGAAATCAATTTACTCAGCAGACTACAACAATATTGGACTCATCTAGATTCAACAAAATTTGTCCATTGTTTCTGTATATTATCTAGCCACAGATTTTGTCCGTTAAATCTGAAATCTGTTAAACTGGGTTCCATTAGAAAGTTTTACGGTACTGAGTATCTGACATTATTAATTAAAAGGGAGTAGATTGCATGATTTTCTTTTAAGACTATCCTCTCACAGGAAGCTCACAGAAGAAATTATTACTAGATATTGATCAAGTGGACAAAAAAAAAAATGGTCATAACAATGTGGAAACAAATTGTTAATTAAACCATGCTCAAACTGGAATCAATTTAGGCATACAAAATGTAAAACACAGATAATAACAACAATGTCTGAGAACAGGATTTACTTAAAACCTTTTTGTCTAGTTGTGTAGAAGCTTGAGTAATATCTGCACACTTTACACCATGCTATAGTAATTTAATTCAAACACACATAAGAGCAATAGCACTTACAAAGCCTTTTTCTTAAGAGTCTATGACTGAATGAAGGAAGCTCACTTACAGACATCTGCTTTTTGAAGGCTGACGCTGAGAGAGGAACATTTATTTTGGTGATGTATCGTTTGGCTGATAGGTCCCACAGCAAGATGTTGCGACCATAATCAGACGACACAAAGTACTGGCCATCAAAACTTCCCAAGGCCTTTGTGTTCTGCTGCCTACTATTTTCTGAATTAAAATAAAAAAATTAAGCCTTTATGGTGAAACTGCTATCACTACACACTGGCATGGTGCCAGATAAGTGGAAAATGGCAAATGTGATACCTATTTTCAAAGCAGGTGACAGGTCTTTAGCTTCGAACTATAGACCAATAAGCCCAACCTCCATAGTGGACTAAACTATACAATTTAATGTGCATTTTACCCTAAAATTATAACCATGTGATTTTTAACTTTACAATATTCATGACCAGAAATAAAACTGCCTGAAAATTACACTAAACAATTTTTGCATTTACCCATCCCACCATGAAATAAAAACGCAAGAGAATTTTTTTTTTTAACACACTAGCAGGGTGACCCAAAAGAGAAGGAACACTTTCACCATCATTCACTATCCCTATCTTGCCAGAGGCATGCCAATACTACAGTTCAGATGCCTGTCCAAACTGCAAATATCCCCACCCCTCCTTCAGAATGCAGGCACTGTACTTCTCACCTCCAGGATTCAAGTCTCCAGGACTCTCATAATATTTACACCAGACATTGCTTTTGGACACATCTTCACTACCTCCAGCTTCCTCCCTGCAACATTCACAACCCATGCTTCACATCCATACAAGTGTTGGTACCACTACAATATCACATATTCTCCTTTTCTGCCTTGATCGATAATGGTCTATCTCCACAGATGTCTTAATGCACCACCAACCCTGCCTCAGCAAGAGACAGCCTGCAAGTTCCCCCCCAAAAAAAATTAAACGAAAACATGAGGTGAAAAGTGTGTCAGAGAAATTAACAAGGTAATGAAATAGTATGAACCGAGAAAAACAAGATTAGGAAATAATTATTTAATGAACTAATTATAGTAAAAGAGAACATGACAGTTTTACCAGTGTTTTTGCTGGATTCCAACTGCCATGCCCCAAAGATTTCAATATGCAAATTTTAGGAATTTGACAAAAAATTAACTATTTATAGCCTTTAACTTAATTTCTTTCATTACAATCAATGTGCTTACAAAAAATTAAATACTTGCCTTTAATCCTATTTCTTTCATTACATTCAGTGAGCTTAGCACAGCCTTGCTTCAGGCCTTCAGCCCTGTGATTGACAGGTTCAGAGTCATCCAAGAATGGATTATTTTTGCCAACATACCATTTTATAGAGTAGATCACATAGTCATGGCCTTGCAGATGAGTTAGAATTCCTCCATCTAAAAAAAATAAAATATCCAGGCAATTAAAACAATATTCTATATGCACATACATTTGAAAATTAAAGGTAATTTTTTAATACTAAACCTATTACTGAATGGGTGCAGATGCTACAGTTGAAAGGTTCATTTAAATAGTGATGTCTGCACACTTCCAGCAAGATAAATATTGAATGAGTGATGGAATGTTTGTTTCTTGGGAAAATTTATATAAAAGTGTTGCTGTAACTCCTGAAAAGAAACATGCTACTCAAGTTAAATAATTGAAATCATAGATTCATTTTGAATGTTCACTACTCCTACTTTAATGCACAATTCTATATGAACTTTTAACACTATTCATCACACTCACTTTACAAACACATTCAAAAACAGATTAACTACTGGCTAAATTTAAGAGGAAGCAGAGGACTCCACACAATACAGTAATACCTTGGATACCGTGAAAGAGGGGCACTGAACCCCCATGCAAACTGTTTTCTGAAATCTTCAATAAAATAAGCAAAGACAGGAATTGCCTGTTGGCTGCAACATGTTGTATATATGTATATATTAACAGTTATCCATGCATGTCATTCGAGGTGACTAAAATACCAGGAGCAAGGGGCTAGTAACCCCTTCTCCGTATATATTACTTAGTTTAAAAGGCAAAGCTTTCATTTTTCCTTTTGGGCCACCCCACCTCAGTGGGATACGGCGGGTACGTTGAAAGAAGAAAGATTAACAGTTTTGGGAATCATAGTCCTTATGGCCCACTGGAAATGATATAGTTGGATAAAAAAATTACTAGAGATAATAACTATACAAAAAGAAACAGTAAAGTCAGGATATGTGTATACAGTACAAATTACTGCCAAATGAATGTAACACTGACTAAAGAAACAACAGCTAACTGAATGACAAACTTACTTGGGTAATTACCAAAGATCTCATTTTAGAGAACAATATTTTAAATAAAAATACATTAATAATTACAATTATTTCTTTCGCAAACATGTCTACATGTTAAGTTCTGCAACAATTCACCAGTAAGAACATAAGAACATAAGAAAGAAGGAACACTGCAACAGGCCTACTGACCCACGAAGAGCAGGTCCATGTCCCCCCCCCCCGGATTAGACCAATGACCCACCCAGTCTGGTCATCCCCACTCAAGGATGGAGCACTGTATCAGACCCAGCAGCAAAGCTAGTCAGGTCCAACTCACACCCACCCACACCCCCTCATGTATTTATCTAACCTATTTCTAAAACTACACAACGTTTTAGCCTCAATAACTGTACTCGGGAGCTTGTTCCACTCATCCACAACTCTATTACCAAACCAGTGCTTTCCTATATCCTTCCTGAATCTGAATTTTTCCAACTTGAAACCACTGCTGCGAGTCCTGTCTTGGCTGGAAATTTTCAGCACACTATTTACATCCCCTTTATTTATTCCTGTTTTCCATTTATACACCTCGATCATATCCCCCTAATTCTACGCCTTTCGAGAGAGTGCAGATTCAGGGCCCTCAGTCTATCCTCATAGGGAAGATTTCTGATACATGGGATCATCTTTGTCATCCTCCTTTGTACGTTTTCCAGAGCATTTATATCCATTCTGTAATACGGTGACCAGAACTGAGCAGCATAGTCTAAATGAGGCCTAACCAAGGATATAGAGAGTTGAAGAACAACCTGAGGACTTCTATTATTTATACTTCTAGATATGAAGCCAAGAATTCTGTTAGCTTTATTGCGAACACTAATGCACTGTTGTCTTGGTTTTAGATTACTGCTAACCAGAACTCCTAAATCCTTTTCGCAATCGGTAGTATTAAGATCTACATCATTTAGTTTATATGTGGCATGGTTATTTAACTGTCCAACATTTAGAACTTTGCATTTGTCAATATTAAACTGCATCTGCCACTTCTCCGACCACTGTGCCAGTCTATTCAAATCATCCTGGAGTGCTCTAATTTCCTCATTAGAATGAATTGGACGGTCTATTTTGGTGTCATCAGCAAATTTGCTTATGTCGCTATTTATTCCCTCATCTATGTCGTTTATGTAAATTGTGAACAACAACGGGCCCAACACTGACCCCTGAGGAACACCGCTTGTGACGTGCCCCCATTCTGATTTCTCCCCATTTATGCAAACTCTCTGCTGTTTATTTGTCAGCCATGCCTCTACCCAGGAAAAAATTTCTCCTCCTATTTCGTGTGCCCTAAGTTTCCTCAATAGCCTCTGGTGTGGAACTCTATCGAAAGCCTTACTGAAGTCCATATACACAATATCATATTCATTACCATGATCTACCTCCTCGAACACCTTAGTGAAAAAAGTTAGTAAATTCGTAAGAGAGTAAAACAGTGTTGAGAATCCTTAATCAATCTGTGCCTGTCAAGATGGCTACGAATTGCTTCGGCAATTATTGATTCCATAAATTTTCACACTATGGAGGTAAGGCTTATTGGTCTATAGTTCGAAGCCAAGGACCTGTCACCTGCCTTATAAATAGGTATTACATTTGCCATTTTCCACTTATCAGGCACTATGCCAGTTTGTAGTGATATGTTAAAAAAATTAGCCAAAGGTATGCTAAGTTCCTCTTTACATTCCTTTAACACCCTTGCAAACAGTTCATCAGGACCTGGGGATTTGTTAGGTTTTAGTTTCTCTATTTGTCTGAGGACCATGTCACTAATAACCCCTATCGTACATAGTTTATTATCATCCTGTTCTACGTAATCTATTATTTCAGGAATATCACTAGTATTTTCCTGGGTGAAAACTGAGAGGAAGTAGGTATTTAGAATTTCACACATATCCTTATCACTGTCAGTGATCTGACCAGAGTTACTCTTAAGTGGGCCAATCTTGTCCCTAATCTTACTTCTGTATACCTGAAAGAACCCTTTTGGGTTAGTCTTTGAATCCCTTGCGACCTTAGCCTCATAATCCCTTTTTGCTTTTCTTATTCCTTTTTTTATTTCTCTCTTTAATTGAATATACTGATCTCTTAACTGCCCATCCCCTCTTTTGATATGCCTATATATGCCTCTCTTTTGACCAGTGAGATGTTTTAATCTATTGTTCATCCATTTGGGATCATTTTTGTTAGATCTAATTTCCCTACTCGGAACAAAAGTTGTCTGGGCAGCTAGAACTATGCTCTGAAAAACGTCATATTGGCAACCAAGATCACCTACCTGACCCATAGTCAGGACATCCCAATTTAGCCCACCCAAGTAATTTTTCAGTCCCATGAAGTCGGCCAAGCGAAAATCTGGGACAGAGATTTGATTGCAGTTATCTGGGTAATTCCATGATATATTGAAACTAAGTGATTTGTGATCACTTTCCCCAAGCTCATCATTAACCTCAAGATTATTAATTAGTGATTCTTTGTTGGCAAGAACCAAGTCAAGCAGATTGTTTCCTCTAGTTGGTTCTGTCACAACCTGTTCTAAAAAGCAATCGTGAACCGTATCAAGAAAGTCACCAGACTCAAGATTTCCTGTCATATTGTTCCAATCAATTTGTCTAAAGTTAAAATCTCCCATTATCACAACATTTTCATATCTAGATGCCTTATGAAATTCGTCCCATAACAGCTTACTGCACTCCCTATCAAGGTTTGGGGGCCTATAAATCACACCCAAAATTAATTTGTCATGTCCCTCGAGAAACTGTAGCCAAACCGATTCTGTGTTCGATGTTTCTAATCTTATATCATGTCTAATACAACAATTTAAATTTTCTCTGACATACATCGCCACACCACCACCCTTCCTGTTGACCCTATCAGTGTGGAATAGTTTATAACCCTGTATGTTGCATTCAGAAGGCATTTCTCCATTTTTCAGGTTGAACCAGATCTCTGTTATACCAATAATATCTATATTACCTACACTTGCAAGTAATTTTAGCTCATCTATCTTATTTCTTAGACTCCTACTATTTGTATAGTAAACCTTTAGGGAGCTAGTCACTCGTTGCCCTCTACTATCTCTCTTTGTTTGTTGATCAATTGATTTGCCATTACTAGCAACTTTATTTTGAATATTGTCTTTTAAACATATCCCTGAGGTATCCCGGTAATAACTGCTGTTTTTAACCCTAATGCTGCAGCCTAATTGTTTCCCACAAACACCCATACCTCTATAATCTATCAGTTTAAATTCCTAGACAAGTCATCAATTACCCTCTCAATTGAATTGGCTAATGCAACCACTCCATCCCCAGAGAGATGAACCCCATCTCTTGCATACATATCACATTTGCCAAAGAAAAGGTCCCAGTTATCAATGAATGGGATTGCAAGTTCCTTGCAGTACTTGTCTAGCCAGCGATTTACACCAATTGCCCACTCCCTTTCTAGGCAAGATGCTACATATGACTGGGATCCCTCTCTTAGACCTAACTAAATTTAATGAAGGTCATTCTCAGCAATTACTGACATTATTTGCAAGGATGAAGATAAACTGTAATTAGTAGTATGAGGACTAGTAAGATAGAGGAGGAATAGTGATAAAGGAAACTGAGAAAAAATGGAAGATCAGAATGAAAATGCAGGATGGTAGAATTACTGACAAAATGTTAGGTAAACAGAGACAGATGAAACTATGTGACATTTTACTGTGGCAACGTTTTTGCTCTCCAGAAGCTTTGTCAAGCTTCTAGAGAGTGATATGTTTCCATAATAAAATATCATGTTAGCTGCGTCTGCATCCATTTAACTAACAAAATGCAGAATGTTAGTATGTTTAGCTGGACAATACTGTAAATGGTTACTAATGCTAAAGTAATAAACAAGCCGCACACTGCATAACTACAGTGAAATATATTGTACATCAGATCAGGAAAATATAAATAACATTTCTATATATAATGTATTTTTTCAATTCCTTAATAACTAACAGTTTCCCATAGCCACTGAACATATTCTACAGAATATTACCTTTGAGAGAAACCAGTGCAATATCCTGTTCAGCTGCGATTAGAACCTGTGAAGGTTCTTTAGGATTAGCCTCTACCAAGGTCAGTTCAGAAAATTGATGAAGAGTGTGGACACGGGTAACACCGTGCCTGGCTTGCCACACTACCATTCTGCCACCACAGCCAACTGTCACCACAACTTCTTCTCCTCCAATGCTGCCCCAACAAATGCCATTTACAGACAGACCCTGTAAATATTCAAATACCATAACTAACCCTTGTACTATATATAAGTTTACTGTATATACTATGCATATATAATTCTTGCATCTTAGCATTAAATCAAGTACAGTAATCCTCATAAATATGCATTGTCTATATATTCAAATTTTGCAAATTTACAATGTTTTTCTTATTGATATCTTCCTACTAATTTCTAAAATTCTAAATTTTTTTATGGTGCCATTTTCTTTTCTACACAGCCAAATTTACAGGCCAAGAGCCATTATCCTACCTCAACTCACTTAAAGGCTTAGCCTCAGGTATACGAAGATCTCCCCTCCACTGAATGTAATCCACAACAACCGACTAACTCCCAGGTACCTACTGTCTGCTAGGTGAACAGGTGCGGCAGGTGTAATGAAACAAGTCAAACGTTTCCACTTGTGCCAAGGATCGAACCATACCTGGAGTTTACCTGGAGGGTGTTCCACACCACCTTTTAATTTATATACCCTAAGCTGTACACAATATTCAGACCACACATTGCTTTCTCTCCATTCGAGAGAATTTAAATGCCTGGCAGGCCAGTACACTAAATAAACCACCAAGCCAGCCTAATAAAATTTGTCCAATTATACACTAGTGGATAGATATTTTATTTATTTTAATCAAGAGGAAACACTAAACCCATAGGGGTCATATGTCTGGGGAATGGGAGGCAATTGGATTCAATTCAAAGAAAGGGAGGGTAATGAGAGATTACTGAATAGAACTACTGTATACTTAATGGATGAAGCTACTAGGCTAGCATGATGTAGTGGGTAGAGCACTGGCCTGCTAATTTTAGGACTGGCATGCCAAGGGTTCAAATCCTGTTTCATGCATAGTGATGAATTATTACTTATATCTTACCTGATGTTCATAATGGGTTGCTATGACATCACCAGTGTGTAAATTGTATAGCCTGATGGTTGATGTATCAGCAGTACTTGCGACTGTGTGTCCATAATCAGGTTCAAATGCTCTGCGATGTAATCGAATAGATAATACTCTTTCACTGTTGTGAGGGATTACCTGGAAGATGTTGGGCTGATATTAGATTCATGAAGGCATATCTTTTGCAAGCATCAAAACACTAACGATGGTAATTACATTATTTTTAAAGCAAAGTGGCTGTTTCCCACTGAAGTAGGGTGGCCCAAAAAATAAGAAACACTTTCATCAACACTCATTCCATCACTGTCTTGCCAGAGGGGTGCCGATACTACAGTTCATAACTGTAAATATCCCCACCCCTCCTTCAGTGTTCAGGTATTGTAATTCCCACCTCCAGGACAAAAGTCTGGCTAACCGGTTTCCTTGAATCCCTTCATAAATGTTACTTTACTCACACTCCAAAAGCATGTCACAATATAAACACCATTTGCCTGCACTAACTCCAATCTAACATGCTAGCACAAGTTTGTTGGATGTCCAAGCTCCTCGCATACAAAACCTCCTTTACCCCCCTCCCTCCTACCTTCCCTAGGATGACCCCTACCCTGCCTTCCCTCCACTACATATTTATACACCCTCCAAGTCATCCTGTTTTCCTCCATCCTCTCTAAATGTCTAAACCACATCAACAATCCCTGTACCTTCTTATTTCCAAACTATGAATGCTCTCCATATACTCACATCACACATTGCCCTCAGACACATCTCCACTGGCTCCAACCTTTTTCTTGCTGCAATAATGACAACTCATGCTTCATACCTATATAAGTGTGTTGTTAGCACTATATGTACTGTACTCTCATACAGTTCCCTTATTTCCTCCAGGGATTACTTTTTGTATTAAAGTACATATATAAGTCAGCAATAGATAGATTAAGAAAAAGGGTAGTTTACTGCATCTATGGAATGGATTGAGGAACAATGTAGGACAATTTTGCAAATATTGTATACATAATAAGTGTTGCTGCATAAAGCATAGAGAGCTTTTACGAGTTGAGTGAGGCACCAGTTAGTGTTGGAAAGAAGGTAATAGTTTCCAGCAAGTATGGGCTTGAGACAAGGATGCATATTATCACCATGGATGTTTTAATGTTTGCATAGATGGGGTTGTCAGAGAAGTGAATGCTAGTGTATTTGAAATCAGGAGGACTTAAAAATAACAAATCTAAGTTAGTGAGGTTTTCACAACTGCTGTTTGAAGATCACACGGCACTTATCAAGAGATTCATGAGAGAAGCTGAGAGTAAAGGAGTTCAAAAAGGTGAGTATAAAAGAAATGTCAAAGGTGAATGTAGACAAAAAGCAAGATAATGAGAATAAGTAAAATACAACCTCTCCTCACTTAACAATGGAGTTCCATTCCTAAGACCACATCGATAAATGAATTCGTCGCTAAGTGAGGAGCATACTATAATGGTAGTGGGTTTCTATCAACCATCTTTGATATTGTTTTAATGTCACCTCTGCACCATTTGTAACGTTTCTGGTATGTCTTTAAATGTTTATACAGCAGTGTACTGTATATTATAATACAGAATAGAGGAAATCAACTCTAATACACATTATTTAAGTATGCATACTGGTCAGAGAGCCCATCGTTAAGCCCAAGTCATTGGTAAATGAGTACGTCGCTAAATGAAGAGAGGCTGGTATAAGGAATGGAACATTAGAGGTTAATATAGAAGAAATGAATACAAATTGAATGCATTCAGATAGCTGGGAGATACGATTTCATGGAACGAATAAAGTCTGCCAACGGAAGCAAAAATGAGAATGTATCGGAGTATAATGGTATGTACTTCTATATGTGTATGAAGCATATAAATAATTCTAAGGAAGAGGAAGCTAGAGGCAGTATAACTGTCTTGTCTGAAAGGAACATATGTTGTGTATATCATGCAGTGAATAAGGAATGCAGAAATGAAAAGAGAATGATGGCCTGAAAGGCATAATTCAGAGTAGTTTGATCATGAAAGCACACTGAAGCAAGTTGACGAGTTTATAAACCTAGTACAGAATAGATGGAAACTTTAGGGAGAAAAGAAAAAAGGAAAAAAAAAAAAAATGACAGAGGCATAACAGTTTAAAAGTGACATGGATGTTGCAGTTCCCAGTCTGCTTTTCTGGAAAGCAGCTGAAGAACAAGTATGCAACCATGAAAACTAGTATCATTTACATTCAACATCCCAGAATAATTAATTATTATTCATAATCAAGAATCTTTCAGAAATTATTTAAATTAACCAAACATTGAAAATAATGCAGAAACTTTATAAACATTTACACAGACCTTGAGCACCTTTGGCAATCTTCTCTCTGTAGATACTTTGTACACTATAATGGCTTTGAAGGCCCCAGTTACCAGCAGATTATCTTCCAAACGACAGTCCACAGCATCACTTATGAACCAATTGGGAGATGGTGGAAGGAGAACGTCTCCAATCTATAAAAAATAATAATTAATTCTGAGAAAAGGTGCATAACTATTTTTTTTTTTTTAACAAGTCGGCTGTCTTCCACCGAGGCAGGGTGACCCAAAGAGAAAGAAAATCCCCAAAAAGAAAATACTTTCATCATTCAACACTTTCACCTCACTCACACATAATCACTGTTTTTGCAGAGGTGCCCAGAATACAACAGTTTAGAAGTATATACGTATAAAAATACACAATACAGTGGACCCCCGCTTAACGATCACCTCCAAATGCGACCAATTATGTAAGTGTATTTATGTAAGTGCGTTTGTACGTGTATGTTTGGGGGTCTGAAATGGACTAATCTACTTCACAATATTCCTTATGGGGAAAAATTCGGTCAGTACTGGCACCTGAACATACTACTGGAATGAAAAAAGTTCGTTAACCGGGGGTCCACTGTATATCTCTCCAAACTGCCAATATCCCAAACCCCTCCTTTAGAGTGCAGGCATTGTACTTCCCATTTCCAGGACTCAAGTCCGGTTATATAAAAAAAACGATTTCCCTGAATCCCTTGACTACATATTGCCCTGCTCACACTCCAACAGATCATCAGGTCCCAAATACCATTTGTCTCCATTCACTCCTATCTAACACGCTCACGTACGCTTGCTGGAAGTCCAAACCCCTCGCCCACAACACCTCCTTTACCCCCTCCCTCCAACCTTTTCGAGGACGACACCTACCCCGCCTTCCTTCCCCTACAGATTTATACGCTCTCCATGTCATTCTACTTTGATCCATTCTCTCTAAATGACCAAACCACCTCAACAAGCCCTCTTCAGCCCTCTGACTAATACTTTTATTAACTCCACACCTTCTCCTAATTTCCACACCCAGGGAGGTACTACCATTCTGCTAAGTGAGTGTAAAACAAAAGCCTGTAATTGTTTTACATGATGGTAGGATTGCTGGTGTCTTTTGTCTGTCTCATAAATATGCAAGATTACAGGTACGTCTTGCTACTTCTACTTACACTTGGGTCACACTAAACATACATGTACACGTTTATTTACTAACACTCATCCGAGTTTTCTTTGATTTTATCTTAGTTCTTGTTCTAATTACTTTTCCTTTTATATCCATGGGGAAGTGGAATAAGAATCTTTCCTCCATAAGCCATGCGTGTTGTAAAAGTCAACTAAAATGCCGGGAACAATGGGCTAGTAACCCCTTTTCCCTGTAATAATTACTAAAAAGAATAAGAAGAAAATTGCATAGCTATTTATGCAAAGTAAAAAGGAAATTTAACAATTGCAATACAGTACTATACAGTACATATTATAATTATATGGTATTCTGACTAGGAAAGATAAACATTTAGAACATCACAAAATTTTTCTTTGAAAAACTATGTTAAAATATAAACACACATGCTTTAGCTTACCATAACAATATATGAAAGGTTTCTTTAAATTGAATTTTCCAACTCTATTTATCCAACATTATTTTTCCTAACAAGAAGAGTGAAAATAAAGTGTTTTGACAACTCTACAAAAATAAGTCTGAGCAACATAAAATTAATGTACTACTATATTCCATTGATGTTAAGTAACAATAAGTTTGTGTTGACCTTCAACAGGTCTTACAGTATTAAGATACACACATTTTATTTTAATTTTACTAAGATTTACTTGGGTTTCTAAATTTTAGTTTAAAATTAAAAACTTGAAAAATGCTTTTAAAAGGCTGGCCATCTCCCTCTGAAGTATGACAATTCAAATAATGAAACAATCACCATTACCCATTCAATTGCTTTCTTGCCTAAAGTAGGCAGGCATCCCAATTTGAATGACATCCTGAACCCCAATATCCTCACCCTTCCTTCAGAGTGCAGGCATTGTACATTTCATCTCCAGGAAACAAGTCCAACCAACCAGTTTTATGTGATTCACACGCTCACACCCTAATAGCCCATCAATCCAGAGAAGACACTTGTCACTCTGTGACCTAACACACACAAGCCTGTAGTCTACATCAATGCTTTGCATTTCCATGTAAGAAATCTTTGTAACCTAAATGTATCTTCTTAGAAAATAAATGATTATGATTATAGATGTCCTAATTCTGCCAACCATAAGGTAATGTCTGATGTGCCCTCGTTATCACTACATCTATGCAAGACCTTAAAACAGATAATGGTTTTCCAGTATCAAGTATTTTAAAATTAAAAATGAAACCTTAAAATGTTAATTAGGTTTATAAAAATTATTGAATCTACTACTGCTGAGACTGTGTACTAAACTTGAGAGTACTGAATGCAGTAGTCTAACCATTCAATATGTAGCTTATCCTTCTGCTGAATACTATATATCATTCCTTTCAATAAGCATTATTTAAGCTGTATTATTGTAACTGTCACAAATATATTAATTTCTACCTTATAGTAATTATAATGCCTACTTCACATACAAAACTTTTATCTCTCATAAAACAGAGAACAATACTGTACTGCTCTAATTACAGCAATGATTTAAGTATCTCTCTGATAAGTTGCATATAACACACAAATGACTACTTAGTACAGTATATGAAACTAACAGTAGCACTTCATAGACAATGATTTTTCCAAATGTAATAAATTTTGTTGCAGAGCAGGAATAGCAGAAGCCACATATTTCACACAACAAAGGAAACTATTTTACCATACTGTACCAAACCAAACCTGACTTCATACTAAGCATTCACTCTAAAACTCGAGTCAAAATGACAAGTATACATTTACATCACCATGTTAAGTCAATACAGTACTATGATGACATTGCATACATAACAAGACTACACAACCCTCCATCACTGTGAAAACAGTAACTCAGTAAAGAAGGAATTTCAGTGCAGCAGTCTCTTACAATATTCTATGTTGGTGCATAATGTTGGTAAAAAACTGTTAGTATTTTAATTAAGAAAGGTAAGTATATATGTACATTATTTTACAATGTGTAGACATATTTAGGACAGACACTATACATTACCTACAAAAATTTGTCAACAAAGAGGTACCATACTTAATTTTTCCTGCAAATTTACATACCTCATGTTTGACCAGGTCCTTAATGTTGCAATGGAAGTGGCACTTTGGAAGTGGCCCAAAACTTAGAAAATTACCCCTCTCCCAAAAGTGATCCTCATCCTTGTATGAATCAATCATTATGGTACTAGATTTGTTTTAGAAAAAAACTTATCAGCTGAGTAGTAGCAGTCTGCTGTATTATTATTATTATAATCAAAAAGCACTAAGCCACAAGGGCTATACAGCAGTCTGCTGTATTGAAATCAAAATATTTTGAATGTCTTGTTCATTAACTAGAAGGAAATTTACACAAAAATAAATTTAAAACTCATACATTTCACAGATGAGCATTTACTTCTCAAGTTTACAATGACAAAATTTAATACAGTACCCTCTCCAGGTATACTGTACTACACTATATGCATAAATTTAATAAAATTTATAACAAAAGTCTAAGTATTCAAACCACTTTTTACTTATTATCAAAACCACTTTAAATGTGAGGTGCTATACTTGCTCAGATCTAATAAGCCAAAAACACAAGCCACCAGAGGGTAGGAGAGAAGGAGCAGTAGTGAAGCTGTATGTATCTAAGAAGGCTGTGTATGATTAAGCATCTTAGTAAGCATTTACTGACAGGGCATTGCTCACCACCACCACTGATACCCCCACAACAACCATCACCACTGATACCCCCCACAACAACCACCACCACAGATACCCTCCACTACAACCATCACCACTGTCCCAACCACAACTACCACCACCAATTTCACCTCCATCTTCATGACCACACTCCTGATGACATGAATTGTTGAATTTATTGCCTTTAAAGCAGAACTTTTCCCTACCCTGTTTGTCTGTATGAGTCTTTGTAGATGTCTATGTTTGTATATTTGTAACTTGTGCATGTCTGTGTGTGTGTGTGTGCATATGGGTGTGTGTGTGTGTGTGCATATGGGTGTGTGTGTGTGTGTGTGTGTGTGTGTGTGTCTGTACTCACCTAATTGTGGTTGCAGGGGTCGAGACTCAGCTCCTGGCCCCGCCTCTTCACTGATCGCTACTAGGTCCTCTCCCTCTCTGCTTCCTGAGCTTTGTCATACCTCTTCTTAAAACTATGTATGGTTCCTGCCTCCACTACTTCACTTGCTAGGCTATTCCACTTCCTGACAACTCTGACTGAAGAAATACTTCCTAACGTCCCTGTGACTTGTCCGAGTCTTCAGCTTCCAATTGTGACCCCTTGTTTGTGTGTCTCCTCTCTGGAACATCCTGTCTCTGTCCACCTTGTCTATTCCCCGCAGTATCTTGTATGTCGTTATCATGTCTCCCCTGACCCTTCTGTCCTCCAGTGTCGTCAGTCCGATTTCCCCTCAACCTTTCCTCGTACGACATTCCCCTGAGCTCTGGAACTAGCCTTGTTGCAAACCTTTGTACTTTCTCTAACTTCTTGACCAGGTGTGGGTTCCAGACTGGTGCTGCATACTCCAGTATGGGCCTAACATACACAGTGTACAGTGTCTTGAACGATTCCTTATTAAGGTATCGGAACGTTATTCTCAGGTTTGCCAGGCACCCGTATGCTGCAGCAGTTATTTGGTTGATGTGTGCCTCCGGTGACATGCTCAGTGTTATGGTAACCCCAAGATCTTTCTCCCTGAGTGAAGTCTGTAGTCTTTGTCCACCTAGCCTATACTCTGTCTCCGGCCTTCTTTGCCCCTCTGTATATGGATGTGTGTGTATGTATACACGAGTCTGCACATGCATGTACTCTGTCTATACATGGTTGCAGGGGTTGAGTCATAGCTCTCAATTTGCTAGATTGTCTTGCCTAGCCTTGTGAGCCCTGTCTTACCTATTATTAAAACTACATATGAAGTCTGCCTCCACTACTTTGTGTCAGTATGTGTATCTGGCAGTACATCTGTCTCTATACACAAATAACCCACACATAGGAGAGAGGAGCTTATGACGATGTTTCGGTCTGACTTGGACCATTTAAAAAGTCACATTAGTGTGACTTTGTAAATGGTCCAAGTTGGACCGAAACGTCGTCGTAAGCTCCTCTCTCCTATGTGTGGGTTTGTAAAGTAAAAGGACACAAGTGCAACTAATGTGGCATTTTATTGTGGCAACGTTTCGCTCTCCAGGAGCTTTGTCAAGCCGTTACAAACAGTACATGGACACAGAGGGTATATATAGGCTCAGAGTGAGGTGCAATACTAGCGGTAGTAGTAGTAGTAGTAGTAGTGACATAAGTTGTAGTAGTAGTAGTAATACAATATGGTAGAGCAATTAACTCGTACACGAGTAAAAGGTTATAAAAGTTATTACTTGGGTAACATAAAAATAGGTTAGACAAATATAGACTGGATAGAGAAGGCCTGCTTCAGTGTTCACTCTGTAATGTGCTTTGTGTAGTATTAACAGGAGAGACTATGTGATGGCAGGGTTTACTGTTTTAAGGAGGATTCTTGCTAAGACTTCAGAGATGGTAAAGCTGCCTTTGTCTTCTTTAATTGTATTCGAAACAGCGATTAGTGCTGTTTCTAGGCACTTGCGTCTGCAGAAATTAGTTTCTTTGATCACTAATTGGGCGTCCCTGAATTTCACGAGATGACTGGTGGAATTTCGGTGTTGTACATAGGCGTTGTTCAAGTTATCGTTCCTACATGCGTAAATGTGTTCAATGAGGCCGGTGTCAAGGTTTCCTGCTGTTTCACCTACATAAATCTTGTTGCAGCCTCCACAGGGTATAGTGTAAACCCCTGCATTGACTGGTTCATGGTGCTTTGATGTTGTCCTCGTTAGTTCCTTTATTGAAGTGCTGGAAGCGATGATGACTCTGGTGTTAGCTTCTGAAAGTACTTTAGAAACGTTCAGTGCAACCTGGCTGCTGGGAAGAATTATTACTTTGTTGGGAGTGGTGTTGGTGCGTGGAGAATTAATGATCTGAAGAGCTCTTTTCTTGCAGTCTTTGATGAAAAAGGAAGGAAAATGTAACTGAGTGAAGGTTTGGTGAATGTATGCACATTCCTCGTCAAGAAACTCAGGACTACAAATTCGGTATGCTCTTAGGAAAAACCCAATGATGATGCCTCTTTTGGTCTTAGTATCTTGACTGGAAAAGAAGTGTGCGAGATAATTTTTATTGGTAGGTTTCCGATAAACTTGAAATCTTAGGTTGTTGTCTACTTTGCGAATGAGGACGTCAAGGAAATGTAGCTTGTCATTGGACTCCTCTTCTAGTGTAAACTGGATTGCCGGTTCAACAGCGTTGAGCCTTGCCTGAAGATTCCGTACATCAAAACATTTGGGAGTTATTACGTGGACGTGTTCCACGTAACGTAACCAAGTGACGCTGGAAGGGATGATGTTGGCGAAGTGTTCGGACTCTAGGTGTTCCATGTATAAGTTGGCTAGGACGGCACTGATGGGGGACCCCATCACCATGCCGTAGGTTTGAGTGGGTTATTTGTGTATTGTTCAAGTCATGGTATTGTGTCGTTTTGTTATTTATTTATCTGTCTAATGTGTCTGAATATTCTCAATACTTGTATAGTGGTGCCTCGGGATATGAACAGCTCAAAACTCGAACAATTATGTAAATGTATTATGTAAATGCTTCTGTAAGTGTATATTTGGGGGTCAGAAATGGATTAATCTAATTTACATTATTCCTTATGGGAACAAATTCGTTCAGTATCGGCACTCAAACAGCCTTCTGGAACGAATTAATTTCGTATCCCGAGGTACCAATGCATCTGCAATTTTGCCCTCCTTAAATTTGGTTGCTGGTTAATAGAAACCATCATATTCATGAAAGAAATACTCAGCCGACAGGTGTCATACAGTGCATGAGGAATGGGTAATAATCAGGTCTGATCCAAGGAATGAGAGGATAATAGTATACATTTATTTTGGATGCTCTTTACTAATTTTGTTTATTAAAAATTAAACTGAGCAGTGTCCATTCATTAACTTTATTATATTAACCCGTAAACGGTCCAAATGTATATATACATTTTTTCAACATTTGAAAGTATGTAAAAAAAGTAATTTTTTTTTTTTTTACATTTGAAAACGTGTAAAAAACTGATCTACTTTTTTTTTGTTATACTATTTGAAAATATGTAAAAAAAAAGACGTAGATCTACTTTTGGAGCACTACGCATGTGAACGTAGATCTGCTTGGACAGTTTACGGGTTAAAAAAAGCAAGTGCTAAACCCATAAGGATCATACAGTACTGCTCTGTCCATTAACACAGCAAGCAGTGTAAAACTTACAATATCCTACATAAACCACATTTACTGAGAATCACCTATTATCATCATTATAGTCATGGAAAGCTCTAAATTTGCAGGGGTCATACAGTGCCTGGGGAAATGGAGGCACTGAGGTTCGATCTAAGGAAGGCAAGATCAAGTCAAATTCGTTGGATTAAGAACCCTTCACTAGCATCAAAGAATCTCCTATGAAGTACATTACCCTATGTAATTCACATGCTAGTTATTTAAATTCCATCTACTTACACTGGCATATATGGAGAACCAGTCATTTTGAGAAATCTTGCATTATCTATTTTTAAAATAAAGCAGCACATATGCAAACTGACATTTGAGGAGATATTAAAAATAATGTGTTTCTTCTGGGGCATGAAACATGACAAGGCTAACTAATGGTTAGTACTGATGCTCCTGGCTAATCACGGTGCACCAAACAAAGTTGTGGCAGTCCTATATCCAGCTGGCAGAGCAAAGTTATGTTAGGTTATCTTAAATAACCTAACATAACTGAAACGTCATCATAAGCTTCTCTCTTCTATGTGCGGGTTATTTGTGTATTGTGTCAGGTTATCTTAGGCTGTGCTAGTTTTGGAAATAAGTCACTGACTTTCTTGTGTTATTCTAGGTAATCTATACATACGCTGCTATGTATGATAATTTATGTAACTGTTTTTGTGTGTACCAGTACCTGAATAAACGTAATTACTAGGCTAGGTTAAGTTAGGGTCAGCTCATGCATTGTGAGACTGAAGATCACTCCCCAGCACAGAGCAAAACTGTACATATTTCCTTACACATGCTGTTAGTTCATCTAGCAGCAAGTAGGTACCTGTTAGTCAACTGTTGTGGGATGCATCCTGGAGGGGAAAGAATTAAATACCCCAATAGGGTATGATAATTTATAAACTGTATCTGTGAGTACTTGTACCAGAATAAACTTACTAGACAAGCAGTACCCAATGTTGTTTGGACTATATTGGGCTATCATTGGTTACTCACTCTCCTGGTTAATAATCCAAACAAAATCTTCTCATCAACCTAATTCTGAACATTTTAAGGAATAAATTATAGCTAGACTCACATAAGATCTCTTCTTGAAGGTTTTAAGAGCTACAGACAGTGTTCCACTGTATGGAGCCCAGCATCATCATACATGGGGG